GCCTGCTGATTTAAAAATGTTTATCTCTACTAGATGATGTTTAACATCCTGCTTATTTCCTAATGGGCTGGAAAGTACTTATTCAACCTTGGTCTCATATAAACACCATTGTGCTATTACTTTCCAAAATACCAAACAGAAACATTTATTGAGCAAGTCTGGCTTTTTATATTGTTGCTTGTAGTTTTACTCTATGCAATCTGAGCAACCTCAGAAAAATCCTGCTTAGCATCTCCATGGACTGATTTTTCCCAATCTCTTTATTTTTCAGTATCGGTTTCTCCTATATCACAACTCTGCACTTCAAGCAGTTGCTGTATTTTTCCCATTTGTTGAATCTTTAAAATACTTTTGGCTTACCACTGAGGTAGCCAGTCTGTCCTTGGTGATGCTGATGGTCTGACTCTATTCTGAAAGAACTTCTGATTTTCATTCATGTTTTTGTCTCTGATTTTTTCCTCCCACTCACTGTTTTTCTCATAATTTTCCTCAGCTGGAGGATATTAACCACTGGGAAGCATGAGCTGCAATTGTCTTCATTTTGCCCACTTTTAATTACAAGCTCTTAAGATAATGTCACTTTCCAGCTGTATGACTGATACATTCTTTGCTAATCAGAATGACTTGCAAAATAAGTAGTTCATGTTGGATGCAGAATCTTTTCCTTATGTAAATGTGTAAGTGCATGTTGTCATCAGATCAATTCCTCACTCTCATTTCAATGAACTGCATTGCACCCAGGATTAGTGAGATTAGTAAAATTTCTCCAGAAACACAGGTCAGATTTGGGAATCTCTGCACCAGATTCAGGCCTGAACCTCATCCTCTCCAGGGAATAACAGACATCAGAGTTTGCTTTTCATTCTGGCCTTATCTCACATTTGGTTCATTCCTCTCTGCCTAAATTGCTCCATATTCTGATGCCTTCCTCAGGGCTCACTGCTGCAGATGGTGTATTTATATTAACTTAAAGATTGCATTCCATCTTTCAAATGAGATTAATAAATTTTTCAGGCCGTTGTGGTTGCCAGACCTGACCTCCTATAAATGCAGGCTATAATTCTTCACCCAGATTCCAGCATCTGGTCCTGTAGCTCATACTTGAAACACAGCATATCTTTTTTAGAAAGGCATCTTGTAGACATGTAATGCCTCTGTTACTTGGATATTTTTACTTATTCAGAATAAAATCTAGTGTCTTGGTGAGGTATGGCTGGGTTTAAGTGCAAGACTGTGGCTTACTCCTACCTCTATTTCAGTAACTGCCTTCTCCCTACCTAAAATGCTGCCCTTAGGGTTCTTTTTTTCAAGTGGATATTGTTCTAGGCATGAACATGGGATCTGAAAACCACTGAGAGTTACAGATGGCTAATGAAAGATTTACGATAAAAAACAAAATAATACAGTTATCTCTGATGACGTACTTCTTAGACATGTGCAGAAGTATGTGAACTGTCTGTACCTCTTCTATTGCTATGTTTTACTTTTCTATAATGTCCTTCAAATAAGGATGGAGCTGTAGCTGCTGGAATTAGGAGAACCTGGACATTTGCTCAGTGAAAGAGACATACCTTTTTGTATCTATTGTCAGTGTCAGAAACCAGGAACTAGAGTACAGTGTTCAACCCCTTTACTTGTACTCCTGGGTTTTACACTTATTTTTTATTTCATTTTATTTCTTTTCCTATGGTGAGATTTTATGCTGAACCCTAATATACTCCTGCAGAATGGCATTCTCCTGGGCCTATTTGAAATTCTTGATCTTTTCTGCATCTGTTTAAATCCTGTGTTCATGCACGTACAGTAAAAGGTCAACCCTTTTGTTTGTTATTTTTATGGAGTTTAAAGAAAGTCCAAATACCTGACCGAGGTACCTGTCTGGTGCAGCCTTGTGACAGTTGCAAAATCTTCAGACTCAGAGAGTCACAAGATTAACTGTTTCATGAGAAATACAAGAAACCATAAAATCAGAGGGTTTGCCACATGAAGTGTATGCTTTGCAGCTAACGGGTGTTTAGGGCTGCCTTACCACTGATCACAATACAGAAGGTGGTGAATCACATGCTCAAAGGAAACAAGCCAGGCAATATGTTGCCAATACTTGCTCCAAACAGAGACCCATGTACAGGGAAGTTAATGGCTCACAAACAAAGCACAAAGCTCAGTTCTTCTTTAGACTTATCTTCAAATTCAGTCACCCCACAGCATGGCTAACCAGCTTCAGAGATCAAAGGGTATACATGTAAAGATGCTCTGGCAAGAACATTTTGGGTTATTTCTGTAGAAGTTACACCCTTGAGTCTGGTACTGTCACTTTCCAAGTTAGTATTGAACCAAGCTCCCAGTTCAGCATTATTAGAGGTATCAAATCCTAGGGAGTTGGCGTTAAGACTCAGATACGAAGCTGAGCTCCCTGTTGTGGAACTTGCTGCACTGCTGAAATCCCAAGAACTTGCTCATGAAAGGTGGTTTTTTGGAATAGCTACAGTTAGCCCTGAAATTATAATGACTTTCAATTTTTATCTTTCATTTTCTTCCCAAAAGATAAACTCCCTTTAGACGTTTGAAAGGATTTTGTTATATTTCTGCTACGTTTTATTTGTGTGAATCTTTGGGGAGAGGCTGATGTCTAAAGGAAATTTATTATTAAGAACTAGCTATGCTATTTCCCAGCAGTGAGCTTGTTACTGCCACATCTTTGCCTAAGCTCTGTAATTGGTAATTATGTTTGTCTGACCCACATTCTTCTGTGTAATTGTAGCAAGATACGGTATTTTTCAATTCCTGAGTAAAAATGTCCACACCAGTTGTGGAGTGTTGCTGGGCAGAAGCTTTCACCCTCAAAAAGCAATTGCATTTTTGTGGTGGAGGATGCATTTTTTTAAAACGTATATAGCACTGGGATCCTATGGGGGTAAAATGCAATGTAGAAATAAGTTAGATATAATGACATGATTTTTCAGAACCTAGGAAACTAATGGTCAATTAAATCCCAGTGGAGGGTGTGTATTAGCTTCCTAATTTGTTTTGGACCTATGACTAGAATGTGTACGCACATGCTATTCAGTCTGGAGCATTCATGTGAAAGACCCTTTGGGTAATTTAACATCCTCAAATGGCACTTCCATCTGAAACTGTTGCTGTGTTGTGTTTCTGCACCAATTGAGTCTTCAGTAAGAGATCTGATGATCAGGTTAGAAAATTCCCTCTCTTCTACTGATTTTATCATCTAAAAAATGAAAATCCAGATTCCTTCTGAAGTTCTTCAGAGGATAAAAATCTTTCCTTTCCACTTAAGTAATTTTTTATTTCCCATAAATAACATGAGAAATACCTTCTCTACCGCTTCACCTCAGTTTTCAAACATTTGCAGCCATGAAGACTGGAGGATCTAGTGGATCGTTAGCATTTCCCGGTACGTGGACTAAATAATCTGACCACAAACCTTGTTTCTGAGCCTTTCACTCTCTAGTTTATTGACCCAAAAGTTTTTCATCTGTTCCTTGGGGGCTACTGAGAATTCTGATATTTTCTCCATCTGTTTCTTGAAATTTCCCATGTGAGCACTCGGCATGTTTCCCTGTTCCTTCCAGATGACCCTCTCTTGCTGTTCCCACTGGGTGTCATAAACTCCATGACTACTTCCAAGAAATGTTAAGGTGAGTCGCATTTTATTTATTGTGCTGAGTAATGCCATTAACACATTCCAAATTGATCCATCAAAGAAGTCAGCCTGGAAAGCCTGCTCAGTGGCAGCTTCAGGTCAAATATTTAGGTGGGGCACTGCCGTTCACCTGAGTCCTGCATGAAGTTGTTATTGAAGTATATTGCCTCAAATACCCCTCTGGGCTCTGCTGGAATTGCTGGCCTATTACACGAAGTCAACCAGCTGCTCCTTTTAGAGTCCCCCTCTGAAATGTGAACACAGGACAGTGGAATTGCTGTCCCGCCGGATCATTCGTCTGGAAGAGACATTATTAATATGGAGTGATAGACTTCCCACTGAATTGGGATAAGGTATGTTTATTTTATCAGTGTTTTGTTTTCTTGTATTTTCAGCCCAGTGCTGAGCCCCCAGGCACAGCCTGGCTGAGGCTGAATCTTGATTTAGGGGAAGCTGCAATATTGACACTTCCAGTGGCTACAATGAATGTTGGCAAAAGCAACCTCTTCACCTAAGGGAGACCAAAGTAGTCAAAAAACCCAGAATTAGATAATTTCCTGTGAGGCATTAGATGCTATCTGGAATTTCTCAGAAATTGCTTTTTGGTCTTCAAGCTGTCTATGGGGGACAAGGGACAGCTATTAAAAAAAAAAAACAAAAAAACACCAAAAAAACAAAAACCCCCAAAAACCAAAACCAAACACCACAACCAACCAAAAAGATTAATTTTAAAAAAAGAATAATTAACTTGTATTTTGTCATGTGGTTTCACTGAAAGTATGTTGTGGGCTCCTCTTGATCCTATTTTCTTCCAGCGCTGCATCCACTTTGGGCTGCACATACCATGTTTCATGGTCCACTCTCTGGGAGAAGGGGGAGCAGTCCTAGCAGGAGTTCCAGCCACAGGAGTGCTGGGCAAGCTGGAAGCCTGGCACACAGAGGAGAACAGGAAGAACAAGACCACAGAATGACAGTGTCTCTGGTTACCAGGGAAACGCTCCTAAATTAGAGCATTTTTTAATTTCAATCAGAATATTTGGTTCCATTTGAAGTATTTTGATAAAAAATATTTTTCAGGGGAAATTCTGTTTTTAAAGTCTGAACTTTTCTTTTTTTTTAATCAGTCTTTACAATATACAGATATGAGTTCAACAAAATTATGCTGAGTTAAGTCATTGTTATCTTTTCATTAATACCTAATCTTGTACATAACTTCATAGAAATACAGACATCATTGATGGGGCTGGAGGGACTTTAAGAGGTCCCCTGATGCAGAAGAGGATCATCTCCACCTGTATATCCCCCAACAGTCATTTAACATGCATGTATAGAAGTTCCCACTGTGGGGATTCCCCAGTCATGTTAGGTGATCTTACAGCTTCCCTACCCCTACAGTCAGTAACTTTGATATCAGTCTATTCTTTGCCACAATTTTAAAGCAGCTAAATACAAATTTTGACTGACTCTGTAAAGTAATCTTTTGGATATTTGCAGATCATTATGTATCCCAAGCATCTTCCAAATACACTAATGTCATAAACACTTTCTTGGTCAGAGGTCTATAATCCATGACCTTTCATGCTTGTTCTTTTCAGACTCTGTATTTTTCTTGAAATGTCATGCCAACAGCTCACATGAACGTTTTTATCCCAGCATGCACATTTTTGATTGCAGAAAGGATCCTACTTTTTAAGCAATATCTGCATCTTTTCCTTTGAGCTGAACAGATATCTCACTATATCCAAAACTGTGTGTTTAAACATATTTTACCCTTCATGCCTATATAACAACAATATTTTGACAATGTAATTCGTCAGTAGCATCCTCCTGTTAAGTGCTATCATCTATAATCTGAAGAAGTGATACAAATCTTAAGTACTCATAACCCTCTTGACTTGTTCATCGAAGATGATCTTACGTAGCCTTCACACCTGCCATTTCTCTGGCATTTTCCTCCACAGTATCCATTTGATGCTCATTAGGTTTTCAAGTTATTTTCCCAGCTTTTTGACTATGTGTGCAATCGTGTATTCTAAATAGGGTTGTTTATGCCCCATGTGTTTCAGTGAGTATTTTGGTAACAGTACACAAGCAGGCGATATATTTGTCCTACACATCTTTGTCCCAGCGTTCTGCAGTTCCTTCCCACTCGTGCTTGAAAATTGGAGTACACTGTTTTTTTTTTTCCTTCATCTCATCATTGTTGTTGTATTTTTTTTACCCCCTAGCATTTTTAGAACATAACATATTTTCATGTAAGTAGTGTTAATTATGTAACAGCAATTTATCTCAGATAAGATCTTTTATTTTTGTTGCAATTTGGCAATTAGAATGCAGAAAATTTCAGGCTTTGAACCCTGCCTTTTATGTCAAGTTGTCTGCCCACAGCTGATGAGTATAAGTATCTTATTTGCCTCAGAAAAGGAAGTGAAAAAAGTACCATCTGCAAATTTATTGGAAATTTAAATATCTTGGATGTATGGCCGAAGGAATAGATCATCAAGCAGTCAAAGTATTGCTCTGTAATAGTGACCAAAGGGTACTTTGATTCAACACCCTAAGAACTGTTATGAAAGGGCATCAAGAATAAAAGCAAATCTCCCTTGAAATATATCAGGATAAGACAACTGGCCAGTATCTGATGGGCAGAGAATGGTATGGCAAGGAACTTAAACGAGCCTTTTTTGCTCATGCAGCACAATTTACTGGGATTCTTTGAAGGGGTCAGCAAGCATGTGGATAAGGGAAAGCCAATTCATACAGGCTACCTGGATGTCTAAAAACTATTTCTAATAGTTTTTGTGGGAATGATTGGAGAAGAGGAAAAGCTGTTGCATGAATTAAGATAGATTAAAATGTGTAAAGCAGAAGCATAAATGGCAAGTCTCACAGTGGACTACAACAGGGAACTTTTTTGAGCTCTGATCCAACACTGAACTTAAAACCATCCTTATGTTCTAATATAGTCAATGCACCAAGCTTTTGATCCAGGACTTTTGAGTGGCTGGTAAATCTGACTTCATGTCTCCCAAAAACATCACTTTCACACCAACCTGTTCTTTAGAAGGACTTCACCTAAAACTTTTTTTGTTAGGCACCTGAAATTCGTGGGATTAAGCGCTCTACTACTTTGTTAGGAAGACTGAGTTTCTAACTTCAGCATCAGTTACGAAAGACACTTTAATGCTGGGCACACAGATTTGATCCAGTATTCCTGGATAGCTGCTTTCCTACAAAGATGGATGCTGATATTGTATCACCTTTAGGTGACAACTATGATGTCATATCATCTTTGGGAAATCTTACTGTGGTTGCACAGAACAAGCATGTTAGTCTTCCCAGTACTGTTGGTGTTTCCATGTGTTCTGCCTTATTCTTTTAATCTTATGGAAAGCATTTCTTTAGATGTTCATCTATCTCTCACCATCCCCCAAGGTACTTCAATGACACAAAATTATCACAATTGCAGATCCTAATTTAGGTATTTTTTTCCATGTTGGAAAAACACTTTAAGTCCCATGTTCTCTCTGAATTGCCATGGCACTGCTGAGCTGTGGAGGACAGTCCTCACTCCACTCTATCGCTGTCAGATTTGACTGTCCTCATCAAGCTGATCAGCTGACAAATAGACTGTATTGCCTTGAACGTCAGAGTAGATTTTTCTAACTAGGTCTAGCTACTGAGCATATGTAGGAGCCAGAATAGCAGTTGCCTGCCTTTATTTCATCCTCCTCCTCTGACAAAGCTAAACTAGCTGATGTTCCCTACCCAAAATGATCTTTAAGGCCTTTCAGCATTCTCTAATTAAACAGCTTCTAACTCTCTGAAAGAGAAACTGTAGCCCCTTCAAGCCTGCTGGGTGGGGATGATGGAAAGTAATTCCCATGGGAATACACCTTTGCACATAGGTGTCTCAAAGGATACCATGTATTACCAAGATACGTGTCCTGTAGACGTCTTAAGATACGTACCTTTCTAACTTCAGGCATTCATAGATCACTGATGCTTGAGGCTGTACATCTAAAAAGGAGTGTAAACTTCATCAGCGTTGACTAAAGAAGAATCTGCTTTCTTTTTTAATGTGCTGGCATTGCTGGCTTTCTGCTGATCTGCATCAAGGCTCTCTGGTGTACAGAAAGCCCTAATAACACGAGCTCCTGATAGCCCTCACTCTTACACCCTGGCAGAGGCAGATCCTGCTCAACATGGCAAGACAGTGAGTTTTGTTTTGGGACCTACACGACTCAGAGATGGGGACACTTCCCAAGGATACACAGTGTCAAAGGATGTGAGTGTACACTCAGTGGTACACTGAGTATTGCTGTGCTGTGACTAATGTACCTATTTGGTATGTTTTCCTCATACAGCCATATTTAAATCAGTGACCAGATATGAGCTGAGGGAAGAACATTTATACAGCAAATACCAGCATGTCTTTGCTTCCTACGTTTTTGGCCTCTTCTACAGCATGGTGCACAGTCCATTTCCCAGGGACTGTATGTCCCGAAGCTTGTATACTGTATCAACCTATAGCAACTGGTCAAGTAATAGTTATCAATTTAAGTAATCTAAGATCACCCACACAGGTTCACCTGCAAATGCCCATGAGTCCAGCTGGCTATGTTGTTAATTTATCCTATTCTCCTTTTGCATGGTCCAGTCTCTGAAGCTTTTGATCTTTGATGCTGAAAGTTTAAAATGGGAACTGAGAGCTGTTTTGTCATTAGAGATGTTTAGGGCTACGTGGTAGCTAAAAAGAGAGTATGTATTTCTTTCCATACTAACCATTCATATATGGTGGCAGTGACTGTAGAGACCTGATGTGGATGACCCAGCTAGACTGTTCCAATTCTCTTTTTCCTCTCTCTTGAAGGACTGCTGTTCTTCAGTGAAAGGTAAATAACCCTTTTTTCCTCTGACCCAGAAATACTTATATGAGTCATAATGTTCTAAAAGTGCCTGTTGGTGTGAAATCCTTCTTTGGGTTTCAAGGTTGTTTCAGAACAAAGTGGATTTTAATTCTTCATAAATGTTTTACTTTATTGTTCTCAGAACAAGGGATGAAGGACCCTATATATGATTTTATTAACACAGAGCAAATATATGACTGTTTACTTCTGATCTCGTAACTGCACCCTAGCAAAGAAAGAAAGGAGAAATGAGGAAAAGAGACCGCAGAGATTTAAGCAATTCTGAGAAGGGCAGAAGAGAAATCAGTGCTTCTAGAGAGTCTCTGTCTCCTAAATTTCTCTGTAGGGTCTACTGGACCATCTGTAATCCCCAGGGAGGAGGATTTTAAGGACTATTGGAGAGGTCACTGAGACTTGAAGACTTTTATAATTTTTCTTCCTGAGCCAAAGAGTTTTCCCCCAAACACCTCAATGTTATTCAGCATAAGGTTATTCTGACTCAGGTGAGTAAAGAGAGCTTATCTTTTAATGAACTCAGGTAGGCACCACACCATAACTAAAACTTGCTCTTAAAACTGAAAGTTCCTTGAAACAAACTCCTTTGTAAGTGGAACGAGAGTAGGAGAGAAGGAGGCAGAACAAATGGAAAAATTGCTGGGAATATGAAAATTATACAGGGCTGATAATGAGTTTATCAAAAAGAAGAGCTGGCTAAAAGATGTAGGAGGACAGTGACAGCTTTGCCAGGTTTTCTTGTTTTTTTAATCACTATTCAATGTTTCACAAAAAATGATCTGTTCTATAGAAATAATGTTTTGAGGTACTTGATATATGGTAGTTAGAAAAGCCTCTTGCAACTCTAGAGGTATTTTTCTTTGTGTCTTTGGAGAAACTGTGACCCTGTAGGTCTCAGATGAACACCCCTCCTAAGTTTATTTGTTAAACAGCACAAACAATTGGCCTAACATGAGCAGAGTTGGGAAATACTTAGCTAAGTTTGGCAGCCTGGAACTGAGCCTTGGGTGACTACAGAAGCAGGGAGGGAATGCAGTGAATGGCACCATCATTGTCATTCAGGAGGTATTTAAGATAGTGCTATGGCAATGAATGGCACTATAATGACTATACTGCTTTGTGCTCCCCTTTGTAAACAAACCCATGAAGACAAGAGTTCCTCATTCTGGTGCAGATCTAAAGTTGAGTTATGAGTACAGGTAAACAAAGTGCAAGGCAATATCTGGTGCACCAAGAAATTAGGACTGCACAAGCAACAGACCTCAACAGTTGCAGGCAACCATGTCAACACACGTCAAGGTTTCAAGGGTTTATATATGTGCCTATATGTGCCTCTTTCTTCTGTACAGAAATCCACATCATGAGCCATAAAACATTGTAAGAAACTTAAAAGCAGTAGTAAAAGGTGGGAAACTGAAAGTATAATATATTGCAGAAAAAGTGCAAGAAAGAGATAGTTCTGCTGATGTCCAATGTCCCTGTGATAGCTCGCAATCTGTTTTAGAGAAGACTTACAGATGGTTCCTGGGAAGCAAGTCCAGAGTACAGAGAAGGCATTGAGACACACACCACATGAGATGCAACAGTACACCTCCCAGAGAAGTTCCCTCCACATCCATATCTGGTTGTCAACTTGCAGTCAAGTGTCTGCACAGGTACTCTGACTATTGCCCCAGGTTTGCAGTTGGGAAGGCAGAGGTACAAGATATTAGTGATATACTCCCACCATGAAGCAGAGATATGAGGAGATCCCAGCTCCTATCTCTTGTGCTGATTCTTTACAATGGTAAAATCAGAAGAAAAGACGAAAACTGATCAGAGAGAGCCGTGATTGTGGTTACACTGGAGGATGCCGGGATCTGAGTTTTACTATGGGGAGATTATCATTAGCAAAGATGTCCTGAGATCAGACAAGGTTAAACAGAAAGGCTGGAAGCAGCGACAGCAGTGTGATGTTAGGAATTATTTTTTGCACTGTGACTGGTTTTGCGCACACGGTAACTGCTGTACATTGGTGCCATCTACTGCCTGGCCGGTGGCTGTCCCTGCCCCACCCTCTGTGCGCATCACCTGAACTGCGGGTAGCAAAAGTGCAAAACAGGTAGGAAAAACTACAATTCTATGTTGATGCCATGACATAAGAAAAAATGTAATTGTCATGGTGGTAACAGCACCGATTCAAAGTGAACAGACCTTTTACCAAGCCACACAGCTCACTGGCTTTGGAGGTAGGACAGAAATCACAGCTGAGCATCTCTTTGGCGTGGAGGTAACAAGAAGGAATCAACCGGATTCCGTGACTATGCCCATGTGCTGTGGCATGGTAAACCACATCTGATCCCCTTGCAAATACCAACAGCAGTGAGACAGTACCCCTGAAAGACATGGGAGGAGGTGCTGCAGCTTTTGCAATGTTGATTGTATATGGCTGCTTCCCTGGTGCCAAAGCAGAGGTTCATGTGACATCTGTGCCAGGAGCCTGGCACTAGAGGATAACCTCTAGCTCACACCCTGAAGCCCCTGCAATTGTCATCATGAGCAGACAGATGTCCACCTCTGAAAGCTCTCTTTGCATGCCAGGGCTTCTCTGTAGTTCCTGTCTCTCTTTTAATGTAATTATGATAACCCACTCATTAAGCTTTTGTGGTGATCCTTTAAGCTGCTGTTTACAGCTGCTGTAGAATTAATACATGAAGGATGTCTTGATCAGCACAGTTCACATCATCACAGTTAACTCAGATGAGGCTATTCCAGAAAACTTTGTGTGCAGGGAAGGCACAAATATGATGTTTAAGTGTGAAAAAGAAAGAATTTCTGGTTGTATCTAGGGTTATGCTATCAGGAGACTGAATAATGACCAGGTTCCTCACATATGTTAGATGCTGCCTCCTTAAGTAGCCATAGAAATTGTGAAAACTCTTTTAATCCTCTACAGTTATTCAGATTAAACTTCAGTATTACCTGAGCCTATGTTGAGTTGATGTACAGGATCCTTATTAAGAGCCTGTATGCTGCCTTGCATTCAGCAGCAGCAGTGTTTTCAGTGAGCAGTGGCATCTGACAAAAAAATCTAAAGAAATGACAAGGACAGAGGGAAGCAGAAAAAAAAGTTAAAACCTCCCAGGAGAAGAAGGGTCTGAGCTAAGTAAATGGAAATTCAAGAGTACCCTTTGTGCCTTGAATCCTTAGAAAATCCTAAGGAGGAACACTTCATAACATTAAAGAACAGTAAATGTAAAATCTGAAATGTCTTTGCATCAGATATCGTTGATGTATTTCAGTGTCCAAATAAGTGGCTGAGAGGGTTCAACATATTCAATATACTGTGCCTTCTTTGTGAGTGTGCTATCCTCCTTTTACAGGCAGCCAAAATCCTGAATCCCAGGTCTGTGACCAGCCACCAAGTCTGTACCCAAGTGACAAGAGCAGTGCCAGCAGCAGTAACAAAGGCCAACTTCCAATAGACTTGCCCAGAGGAAAAGGAAGAGTTCTTGAAGACAGACATGGTATTTGCCTGACTCACAGTTCAAGGTGAAGTCTCACTTAATGACACAGGTCTGCATGTTTATTTTGTCCTAAATCTTTTCAATCTGTGGGCAAATGCTGACTTTTCTAAAGTGTGATTCTTAAGCCTTGCTCGATCATTATGATTACAAGGTAAGGTCATAAGCAAAGACATTTAAGCTCTTATGGAGTGCCTGGGTTCAAAAGGATCTATCTCAGTTTCTCTACTTGATTTCCTCTACTTCAAATGAAGATCAATATTCATCATAAATCACCCAAAGCCAACTCTTATCCGTGAATAAAAACTTTTATAAATAAGAATGTATATATTTGTTATTATGGAAATTACTATTTAGAAAAAAAGAGCAAACCCCAAAACAACCCACAACTAAAAGTGGTTTCACTCTCCTTTTAAATTAATTAGAAAATTCAGTAGAAATTATGGAATAAAGCCTTTCTTGGTAACTCAGTTTTATACAAATTGAACACAAACTCTTTCTGAGAATATGAGAATAAAGGAAGAACAAGTTCCCAGAGCTGCAAATCAGTGGAGACTGCCTTTCAGGAGAAGAAACTTGAATTTCCCTCTGGGAGCGGATCCCACACATGACTTTCAGGAAGACCAGCCATGGCCACCAACAGATGCACTATCAGAGCCAAACGTAAGCCTCTGGGGGAGTGTGATCTGACAAGCAGCTGCCACTGCTGAAAACTTTCTTTGTAGACCCTGACATCTGGCTTTTTCAGCTGCCAAGCTTGACCTCTTCTGAGATGCCACAGGAGACAAGTCGCTGCATCAGGTAGGAAACCAGGAGGACAAAGATCATAATCTGATGTGACCGGGAGGTAGGAGATGAGGCTGGCTGGATGTAAGGCACTAATTTGTAGATCCTTTGTGGCTTCTTTTATTTTCTACTGTTCTTCTCGTGACTTTGCAGTTCTAGGTGCATATATTACAGTAGTAGAAGAAAAGAACGGTAAAAGAAAAGAATGGGAAGGGTTGCAAAAGAACTTAATCTATGTCTGCATATTTGAAAGGTTGGCATAATTTGATGTGGCTTCAAATCAAAGCTCCAAACGCAAGTGAGGTGAGGCAAGTAGTCATGCATCAGTGATTTCTGAGCATTAGACAGTGAGAATGAAAATGAAGGTTGACAAGCTGGTGGTCTCTTAAACCACCCTGGATATTGGGGACCTGGTGACAGGAGATCCACCTTGAGCTTGACATGGCATGGCAATGTTCAGGTCTGTGCCTGAAGCTCGGCTCCCTGCTGGTGCACAGGGTTTTTGTTCGGTGCACAGAGGACAAGCGCTTCAGACCTTTTCCAGGTGAGGGTGAGATGAGGCTGAGGCTTTTTCAGGTACTGAATAAGCCAAGATTTCATTTCAAGTGGTGGTCATTTGAGAAATAAATGGTGATAGAGGGTGAAGGGAAGTTCATGTTGCTACTCTAGGCGTGACTGCATCACCACAGTTAAAACAAGGTGTTTATTTTCCATGGCTTGCCAGCTGCTGGCTGTACAGGGAAGGAGGAAAAGACCAAGATGAGTCACTCTGACAGCAGGGTTTCTTACTCCTTCTTAAGTTATCTAGTCCCAATGTGAAAGACAGGCTAGGTCACTGGTTTCAATGACGATAGCACTTCAAGTTGCCTCTTGGCACTGTGCAAAGAATCTGTTTTCCAAAAAGTTTAAATGGTTCTTTGCTTTATAATAACTTTTGCATATAATTGACTGAACTGCTTTGTTCAAAACTTGGCTCCTACCTAGACCTCAGTGAGGAGGAAAAGAAATTGCCTGAGTTTAAATACTCCCCTGTTTATAATTCAAACACTGCAGCATGGAGCTATTGCATGAGAACTGGGAAGTGAACCTGACTACAAGCCAGCTCTTCACAAATGTGAAACAAATGTCAACCTTTCATTATCCAAAACAAAATGTAAAGAGTTCAGAAGTAAATCACTTTTTAATCTCTCTCATTGACAAGTGGAGATATTTCTAGCAATGATGAGTGTCTTTACCATAAATATCTTAGAATAGTAGAATTGTAGAATGGGTTGGGTTGAAAGGTACATTAAAGATCATCTAGTTCCAACCCCTTGCCATGGGCAGGGACACCTTCAGTAGATCAAGTTGCTCAAAGGCCTGGCCAGCCTGACCTTGAACACTTCCAGGGATGGGGCAGCCACAGCTTCTCTGGACAACCTGTTCCTCACCACCCTCATAATGAAGAATTTCTTCCTTATATCTAATTTTAAATCTACTCTCTTTCAGTTAAAAGCCATTAATCTTTGTCCTGTCACTGCATGCCCTTGTAAAAAGTCCCTCTCCAATTTTCTAGTAGGCTTCCTTCAGATACTGGAAGGCTGCTATGCATCTTTAGCAAAAATCTTTTACATCCAGCATATACAGATTATTGCCAGGAATTATTAGATTGAACAGTACCTTTTAAAATCTACCAGGAGATGGCAGAGTTGGACTTAGACAATTACATTTTTGTGTAAACTAATCACTGAAAATTCATACTAAAAAAAAGTCTTTGAGCTCTGTAGAGAACAAACCAGAGCCAGTCATTAAAATTACATCTTCCCATCACATGGAATTGCACATCTGTATAAAACCAATAGTAGCAAACAAACTAGCTCTGTCTAGACCTAAAATCAGGCACCAAAAAATAGACTCCCTTCTGAATATCCCTGGCCACAATGGAGGGGATTACTTGGATCACAATGTGTAAGAAAATTGAGGAGTGATTTGGTGATACCTCTATTTTTCCCAGAGTCAGGCAAAGCAAAAAGCCAATCAGCAACAGCTATGAAATGATTTCCAGAGATGACAGAAATGCACATGATAGCCCACAGCTAACAGCCAGTGTTACCATTAAACTTCCATGAATACATTTACCATAAAGAGAAAGTTGCACACTTCTTGGAAAGTGCTTACCCTTACACATTAGCACTGCTAAGCAGCTCCCTCCAAAAATAGTATTTTCCCACTGCTACAGTGATGTGTCCCACTCAGTGAAGTTGCTGTCTTTAAGGGTATCCTGAGAATTAGATTTCCTGTGCTTCAAAATGAGAGGGTGTGTGGAAGTGATGAAAATGCTTCACTATTAAGAAAGCAGTTAGCAACATGTGCCCCGGACTCTGGAAGCACAGGTCAGCATTGCTTGGCTACTGACAGCAGAATCATACAGATTCCTCTTGGGAAATCTGGCTGTCTCTACATTTTAGGACTGCCCTGAAAACATGTTCCGTCTCCCTTAGCTGTGTGAAATTATGTTGTTGGGTAGCTAGAAGATAATTTAGGCTGTGCTCAATTATCACATTCAAGGGACGGGATATGATGACTTCTAATTAACTTCTGCCTAGTTATATTGTAAACATGCAAGTGCACACACACAAGTAATATTATGAACATCATATATGGTATAAATACATGTTGTACATATATATGTTATAAATTTTTGACCAGATACACTGCCCTTTGGAGATTAAAATGCCATCTTGGAGTTACTGCTCCATGGAGAACCTTGCCTGTGCATCTCCCGCCTTTCTAAAATAGTTTATTCCACTCTTTATGGGCTTTGCGGTTTTTTTTTAGCACTTTCAGTGCCTGGTTGAGGTGCGATTTTCACTTTTCCACTAGATGGCAGATTGTCGTAGTTGAAATTCTTGTGCGCTTATGAGCATCGTCAACTTACCAGCTTTGTAGTTGAACTCTTTCATGTACAAAGAAAACATTAAAACCAGAATAAACATGGTAACGCATTCTTCACCAATTTGTTTAAAATTCAGTATGCTTGTTTGCTTATTTATAGAGCTTACTATACATCGTTCTGACATTTTGTTGCATATGAAGCAGCATGTATGGTTCCCAAGAGCATCAGATGTATGCGCTTTGCACAGCTACTTTGGGGCTCTTCAGAAAGGAGCGTGTTGGCCAAAATATTTCTGTACAGATCTTGGCTATGTACTGTGGCTCTCTGGGATTTCTGGACACTAGGCATTTCAGGAAGTCCAGCACTATGACACAAAACCCTAAAGGAATTGAACCTACTTTCTAAGAGTTGATAACTCTCCTGGTTGTGTATTGCAGGTATTTTCAGTGCCCTTCTCCCTTGCAAGTGGTGAGCTCCCTTCACTAAAACAGGTCCAGGTCTTCAGAAAGTCCCAGCAATAAAATCTGCAATCCCGGTGCTCCTGTGTTTGTGCGAGATTCTCCAGTTCCCAGGTCTGGTTTCAAAATTCAAGGCAAACTCCACTAGAGCTACCAGATTTTTCCTGTTCCACTCAAACTCATAAATTGGTACAGATCCTGGGAAAGACAACCATGAATCACAAGACCATTCAGCTGAGTCCAGGTTTTCTCATCTGGAATGTTAAATTTATAATCTTCAGAAATTCTTCTGGGGATAGACTTGTGCTAGTGTCATTCACGAAGTTTAATGGATTTTTTTTCCTGCTTATTTTGGTGTAAGAGAGATCAGTATTGGTCACATTTATTTCTCCCCTACCAGTAACTAAGTTTGCTGTACTGCTTTCCTGACTGCAGTCTCTGCTAAGGAAGTAGATTAAGTGTAAAGGTATCACAGTATCACAGTATGCTAGAGATTGGAAGGGACCTCAAAAGGTCATCTAGTCCAATCCCCCTGCTGGAGCAGGAACACCTAGATAATGTTACACAGGAATGTGTCCAGGCGGGTTTTGAATGTCTCCAGGGAAGGAGACTCCACAACCTCCCTGGGCAGCCTGTTCCAGTGTTCCGTCACCCTCACTGAGAAGAAGTTCCTTCTCAAGTTTAAGTGGAACCTCTTGTGTTCCAGTTTGTACCCATTACCCCTTGTCCTATCATTGTTTGCCACTGAGTAGAGCCTGGCTCCATCCTCGTGACACTCCCCCTTTATATATTTATAGACACTAATAAGGTCACCCCTCAGTCTCCTCCAAACTATAGAGACCCAGCTCCCTCAGTCTTTCCTCATAAGGGAGATGCTCCACTCCCTTAATCATCTTCGTTGCCCTGCGCTGGACTCTCTCCAGCAGCTCCCTGTCCTTCTTGAACTGAGGGGCCCAGAACTGGACACAATATTCCAGATGGGGTCTCACCAGGGCAGAGTAGAGGGGAAGGAGGACCTCTCTCGACCTACTAACCACCGCCCTTCTAATACACCCCAGGATGCCATTGGCCTTCTTGGCCACAAGGGCACAGTGTTGGCTCATGGTCATCCTGTCGTCCACTAGGACCCCCAGGTCCCTCTCCCCTACACTGCTCTCTAACAGGTCGTTCCCCAACCTATACTGGAACCTGGGGTTGTTCCTGCCCAGATGCAGGACTCTACACTTTCCCTTGTTATATTTCATCAAG